TGTAACAGTCTCATCTCCTGTCCCCAACCCTGCTGCGCTTCAGTTTGAGGTGCCTGGACTGGGGATGGAGGTGACTTCTTCCGGTCCTCCTTCTTCCCAGCCCCCAGCCCTGCCTTGTCCCCTTACCTCCCTAGTGTTCTACTTATACAGCTTGACTGGGGAGGGCGTAGCTGGCTTGATTGCTCCTTGGTATGTCCTGGGCAAGGAGGAAATGGGTGGTCCCCGATTGTGCTGACTGTCTTTAAAAGGTGGAGCCTTTGACGGCGTGGTTGCCTCTGTGTCTTCTGCTTTGGGCACAAGGAAAGTCCCTTGTGATTTGGGTAGGAGAGTAATGGGAGGGGAGTCTGACTGGAGGTTCACTTGGGAGTGGCATCGGGGATTCAGGTGGGGAGAAGTCACAGGTGTGCAGTGCCTCTAAGGGTCACGGCGATGAGCAGGCAGCACTTCCATCTGCCTGCTCGCCACTGATGGTGAATGTGTGTAAAGGGCATACAAGCGGGTGTGCAAAGGGACAGTGCATTGCAATTCACCAAAATAACCGATAACAGGATCCAACATTTCCACAGCTGTTCCCAGTGTATAAAAAGATTTCGAATTCTTTTTCTGACTTGAAAGTCATAATATACCTTTGAAGTAGATGGGTTATGACCATCGGAATGTCAAAGGCCATTGGAGAAGTCGAGGGCTTGGCTGGGGATCCCATAGCCAGGTAAGGGCAGAGTTGGGGAATTAGACCGGGAGGTCTGACTTCCCCTTCTCTTCCCATCTCCTGACTCCAGAGTCTGATCTACCAAACACGTCGCCTCTCCCGCATCACCCAGATGACAGCAGCTCCCTAAAAGCATTTCAGGGCGTTGTCACTGGCATATCAACATCTCCAAGGCCAGACCTGACTTCCATATTATGATGTAACCACATCGCGTAGGACTGCAAAACCTTAGAAAGTTTTGTTCTTTGAGCTGAAGTAAAGCTTAATTCTGTGCCCCTATTAAGAAATATTTTGCCTGGTGTCCACGGGTATTTGGAGGGAGTCCTTTTACTCTTTAAGGGAAATCCTGTCTTCAGGTGCTCCTTTGTGGTTCCAGGGAGCTAAGTGAGGCAGCGTCAGCAGTCATTCTGGTCATTGCAGCAGGACTCTCAGGGCTTCCCACAGGGCAGTACCTGGTGACTTGTATTTGTAATCACTCTATACTATATTCCAGCTCATTGCTAATTCCTTGCTTATCCAATTAATTCAAATCAGGATGGCTTTATTTGGAGAGGAAAGTGTGCTCAGTTCAGGTCCTAGTGGAAACTCTGCCCCCAGGTTCGCAGCTGGTTGCGCCGGGCCAAGTTGCTCCTGCTGTGGAAGTAGCGTGTGCTGGCCACGCTGAGGCCCTTCCCTTCCTGACACCCTGTACCCATGGACAGGACGGCACGTGGACTGAGCCACAGGGCGAGGGCTAGGGAGGGGTCAGGGAGGGTGCTGGGGGAGGCTGCAGAACCTGCTGACTTTTTTCTTTTTCCTTTTTTAAACCAGGGATTATTAGCCGAGAAAATGCAGAAGATCTCCTGGAGAACATGACCGAGGGAGCATTTCTGGTCCGGGTCAGTGAGAAAATCTGGGGTTACACCCTCTCCTACCGCCTGCAGAAGGGGTTCAAGCACTTTCTTGTGGATGCCTCTGGGGATTTTTACAGCTTCCTGGGAGTGGACCCCAATCGCCATGCAACGCTCACAGATCTCGTTGATTTCCATAAGGTATCCCTCTTTGGGGTGCTCGCTGGGGGATGAAACTGGTAGACACTTGAGCTGAAGAGAGAGCCGAGGCAGGCACAGCAAGGCTGCGGGCTCTGAGCCGTGGGGCTGGAGGGGCACAGAGATAAAGAGAATCAGGGCCAGGGTAGACGAGGCCAGAGGTTGTCTAGACCAGGCCCTGGAGCCCACGTTCTTCTCTCTGGCTCATCCTCTGGGGCAGGTGTGCACACCTAAGCCTGGCCCCCAGGCCTCTTCTCACCTTGCGTGCCTGAGCGCTCCCTACTTTCAGCACAAGGGTTTGGCTGATCAGCCTCTCTCCATGCCCAGATGTCACACCTCAGCTCATTCCCAAAAATGTCCCTCTCGTGAACTTCAAGCCAGGCTTCTGAGAGTTCGCTGAACCAAAGGATTTTGGGAGGCAGAGTGGTGGCAGCTCAGGGTCCAACATCTGCCTGCGCTTTGCAGGTGTAAGAAGGTTCACAGAAGGATTTGACTATTTCACTGGGCTTTTACTCCAAGAGGGACTCTTGGATTTGTATCGCTTTCTCTTCCTCTCTTGCTGGATGTTTCCAGGGCTCCAGGGACAGCTCTTGACTTGACCTTGTGAGTAAAGCACGTAGAAAATCACCCATTCACAAATACCTGCACACTGAGTACTGCCCAGAAAATTGTACCAATCAGGATCAAGGTAGATTTCCACTTGTGTAGCCTTCTAACAACCAGAGGAAAGAGAAAGAGAGGGCATGTGGGGGTATTGGCACTTTGTCTCTGTCAAGCACTGAGCCTCGTGCTCTACGTTCATGCTCTTATTTAATCTTCCCAGTAGCTCTGTGAGGGAGGCATCTTAGCCCCATTGCACAGATCCGGGAACCAAGGCCAAGTTTCCATGGCTGATACCACGAGGACCAGGAGTTAAGTTTCATGCTGTCTGCCTCTGAAGTGTGCGCTTTCCCACCAAACCACATTGTTTTGCTCTCCCTGTAGCATACAAGCTGCATGAGCAGTGATAAGCTCCGTGTTCCTGGACGTGTTTCGAGCAAAGGGTAAACGTCCACCTCTCAGGACAGGTTCCTATACGGAAAGGCCAGACCAAATGTTTTTTGAAGGTCTTTATTCTCTTCCGAATCTAAACTTTAGAGACTGAAAGTTTCATTCCTAACACATTTCTTTAGAGATATAGCATCTGTGCCCATCTGGGGATCTGGTGGTCAGCTTTTATAAATTAAAATTTTAATTACGCAATTAATTCCTGATTATATTTTAAGAAAAATCAAATACGATACAAAGTGAGAGGCTCATTCATTCCAAATCCCCATTTCCATCGTTCACCTGGAAGTATTAATCTGCCATGTGTCTGTCTAAGTATTTCCTGGGCAGTAACACAGAAACTTATGTACATAGTTTTGTTATTTTTCACGTAGGTTGCATAATTCTTTACATATAGCTGGACAACTTGATTTTTTACATGCTAAATAAATCATTGAATATAGTTTTAAAAAGCATGATCCCTAGGATCAGGCTGCTGAATTTTAAATCCCAACTTCATTACTGTGTGTGACTTTGGGAAACTACTCAGAATTTTGGGCCTCAGTTTCCTCCTCAGTAAGATGGGTTTAATAACAGCACTCACTTCTTCAGGTACCTGTAAGGTTTCAATGAGATATCACTGTTTAAAGTGATGAAAAAATAGACTTGACACTTGTAAATTATCAGGACATGCTGGCTATTATTAAAGCATGTCTATGAGATCTTTCCATGTCAATACATGTATCAATCCTTATAAATGCCCCATCTTATTCCATGGATGTATATTACGGTTTAATTACCCATTCTCCTCTTGATAGCCACTTATCTGGCTTCCGGTTTTTCGTGATCACAAACAGTGGTGCAGAGACTTTCCTATGTATGTCACTGTGGATGCATGTGCAATATTTCTCTAGGATGAGTCCCTCAGACTGGAACTGCTAGAGAGAAGCGTGTGCACATTTTAATTAGAAAAGATCTGCCAGATTGCCCTTCAAAATTGTGGTGCCAATTCAGGCCCCTGCCAACTCTATATGAGGCTGTTTCCCCAGACTGCTGCCAACACGGTGGCCTATCGGTCATTTAATTTTTTTCATCAGACAGGCAGACGCTGAATCTCACTGTGGTTTAGCTTGCATTTCTCTGCTGACCACTGATGCTGAGGATCTCTTCATATGTTTAATGGCCACTTGGATTTCTTCTTCTGTGAATCATCCATTCATATCCTTTGTCCATTTTTCTATTAAGATGTCTCTTTCTCACTGATGTGACATTTCTTTGAGCAACTAAATTGCTCTTTAGTTATGTCCATGCTGTTACTCAGGCCTTATACTGAAATTTTTCTTTTTAATTTAAATGGTCATGCTTTTCATATCTGGGTTCTTTAATTGGTTCTTTTTTTTTTCTAACAAAGGGCCCATTCTTGTTTCATGGATGACTTTTCTTCTTCTTTTTTTTTTTTTTTTTTGAGAGAGACGGACTGACTCATTGACTTATTGACTAACTGACTTTCTCTGCAGCTAATCTTATTCTACGGAGGGGATTAATGCACATCTCTTAAAGGCTCCTTCTCTTTGTTTTAAATTTATAGACTTGACATTTCCTTGGGAATCATTTCTGTTGTTGAGTTTGGCATCTTTCTTTTATGGTAATGATTTTTCTTAAATGTTTATGGGTTTTGGGCTATGTGGTGATCTTCCATTGCTAAATTTCCTGTTTGTCCATGAGTGGCTAGAGTTTCTGTTTCCCAAATCCAGTCTCTTAATGCTGTGGGGGTTGGAGTTGACAGTGAGTGGTTCACATTTTAGGCTTGGGAGTGTTTGAACTTTTTGGATCTCTTTGGCCACCCGGGAAACTGTGTGCATCTCCTCCTTTCCTGAGCTGCCTGAGGGAAACACCTCTGAGGCAAACACCTGCCTAGAGTTCCCCAACCTGTCCCCAGCTCGCACTAGCCCCTGCCCCCCACTGATTCCTCTGACAATCCCATCCTGCACGACTTTTGTTTTTTAAGGATTCTTTAACCTTTTTCACTTTGTTGATGGCATTTCTTCTTATTTTCCAGTAATTTTTTGGATTTATTTCTTTTTAAAGGCAGATTTTGTCCTGTCATTTCTAGAAATTTGAGTGAAGCAGAGGTAGATGCATGCTCTTTGTCTTTCTGTCTTAAACCAGTCTCTGTCTGGTAGACGTTTATTTCTCTTTCTTGATTATAAGTGAATTTTCCTTTTTTTCCCTTTTAGGAGGAAATTATCACTGTTTCAGGGGGAGAGTTGCTGCAGGAACCCTGTGGACAGAGGGACAGCCCGCCAGATTACCACCTGTTGTTTGAATGATTTCTTTTTCTCCTGATCAATTGGATTCCTTTGGGAACTCTCTTTTTGAACTCAGCTTAAGAACTTCCCAGCTCAAATCCTGTGGACTTCTGGAAGATCCATCACCGCTCAAACAAGTAGACTAGTATATCTCAACTGATATGAAGTATTTGGCACATGTGCTGCTGGTCTCATCCCAGTGCTCAGTACAGAAATTGCTGATAGCTGATGCAACTCTTTCGTGAAGAGTTTAGCTATGATCTCGGAAGATAAAGACCACTTGCCATGGGTACCCTAAACTGAGCTCCTAGAGTGCGTGGATCATGTTTTAATAATCCAAAATAATTCTAGTGCCGAACCCTGAATTTACCATGGTTAAACATTGGTAGACATTCAATAAATGTTTGTTGAATGAATGTACTTCTTCTAAAAGTTTTCCAACACCAAATCAGTTTCTAGTAAGGTATTTCCTACTCGTCACCCTTTATAAAATCATAGAAATAATAGAAGTGAGATTGTAAAGGATTTCTATGGTGGACATAGATGCTGCATCTTTCATAATATTCATTATTGCCCTCATAGATATTATCATTGGACTTACCTAAGGTTCCTGAGCCCCAGCTTCCAGAAAAGGTGATTGATACTGTCCTGCCTACTGTATTTAACCTCTTCTTCTGCCACCCTCCACTGTCTTTGAATCATAATTTGGACATGGTTTTGCAATATTGAAGCAGTGGTTCCATGTATTCCTACAGATATACCTGGGGTGAATTATAAATCCAAGAATGGTTTTCAGACATGAGGGCTCTGCTCTCTAGGGTGGTCCCTCTGTATGCAGGTTACTCAAATGATTAACTCTGTTCTCATTTTCCTTTTGGTTTTGATTCTACTGTCCACTTAATCTGAGCATGTTCCTCATATTAACAGAAAGACTCTCCCAGTAACTCCTCAGTAACTCTTCGGGATGGCATCTATTTGTGCATACTCGTGGTCTACATTCATGGTCATATAAATGGGGGCAGCATGTTATGATGGGAAGATTATAGTGTCTACGGTCAAGAAGAGTGGGGTTCAAATCCCCACCCTGGAACTTACTAGCATTCTAATGCTTGCAGCATTATGTTTGGTGAGAGGAAAAGGATGAACGGGCTCTGCGGATGTCAGGGAACTGGTTTGCTTTACTTGGTAGGTGTATCAAACATCTCCTATGCTCTGCTTGTTCCTTGCATTCTTGGCTGTGTGTTTCCCACCAGCCACCACCACTGTCACTCATCGTGCAGGGGCTCTGCTCTGCTCACTGTGTCGATCAGCCTCATGTGAGCATAAGCCAATGCTACCTTGCCACATGCCTCATTTCCTGTTGCTACAGAGGCATGAGACAAAGGGCTGGGAAGTTAATGCCCCATGCAGTAATAAACCTCAGATCAATGGGAGTGAGAGGCTGGTAGATGAATTCCTCTCCCTTCTTCCTCCTGGGGAACTGTTCTGTGAGGCATTTCTTCACATGGTCTCTTAGGAGACAGTCCTGCAAGATCCAGCGATGACGAGTCATGATGAAACCAAGCAGTGACCTGGTCAGTGTGACCCTTATTTGTTCTTCCTACTTCTCTGCCTCACCCCCTGTCTCTCCTGCTCCTCTGGGATTGGACTCCTAGGTGAAATAGCAGCACATAAGCTTCTGCTGCAGGGGAGCCCAAGGTAAGGACTCATCATACAAACATGTTCAGTAGTAACAGTTTTGCAACCCAGCTCCGTCGCCTGCCTCCTGTCTGCCTGTCTCACTGAATGCATAAAATGAAGTGATAGAGGGGACCTACTTTTTGAACTCTAAAGTGCCTTAAAACTGTAACCGATTATTATTAAAATTACCTTATTTCTATTAGGACTCAGAGGAACCAAGTTTTGGTTTTGATTCTGCTACGTACCAATTACATGACTTTTTTTTTTTTTTTTTTGAGACAGAGTCTCACTGTCTTGCCTGGGCTAGAGTGCCGTGGCCTCAACCTAGCTCACGGCAACCTCAAACTCCTGGGCTCAAGTGATCCTCCTGCCTCAGCCACCCGAGTAGCTGGGACTACAGGCACGCACCATCATGCCTGGCTAATTTTTTCTATTTTTAGTTGTTTGGCTAATTTCTTTCTATTTTTAGTAGAGATGGGGTCTTGAACTCCTGAGCTCAAGCAATCCTCCCGCCTTGGCCTCTCAGAGTGTTAGGATTACAGGCGCGAGACACCGTGCCCGGCCCCATGTATATGACTTTGTTCAAGTCATTTAACTCCAGCAAACCTCCACATAACTGAGAAGAGAATTTTCTGTATGGCCATCACGGGGTTTTTTGACAGGCCAGGTAAATGGTAAATATGAAAGCTCTGTCCAAATGAAAGGTGTTGCTAGAAGCCACCACAATAACAGCAAGAACGATTTCATGCTTAGCAGTGATGTGTCGGGGAACATGATGTGATGATTTTCAAGGTGTTGGAAGAAACTTCTGTTCCAAGAACTAGCAGCAGCTTTGAAAGCAAACCAAGATGGGTTGAGACCCTGACTCCGTGGGTTGTTGTTCCTGTCACCCCTAATTAATATGTGAAAGACAACAGCTGAGTTTTCCATCCCCAACACATTTCTTTCCTTTTATTTGGGGCCTGCACTTTCTGCATGTCTCATATATTTTAGGTTTTACCTGGCTTTAAAATAAATCCCTTGTAAGTTGTCCTGCAAATGAAATTACTGTCTGGAAAACTGCAATTTCATCTTGAGAGTTTTATTATGCTAATAAATGTCAGGATTCTCAAATAAAGGAATTGCCTTTTTTTTTTTCCCTGAGTCCTACAAATATAATGAAAAACAGTCACTCGGCTACAAGACTCAGCAGAGGAAAAATTTACAATCTATAACTAGAAAGAGAAGTTGTAAAAAACACTATGCAACTTAATGGAAGATAAATTTCAAGGAATGAAAGGGCAACTTGGGGAACAGATTCAAGGAGATCCTGGGTGGCAGAGATAATCTTAGGGAATATCTAAGGGGCATGAGCTGAGAGAGGTTATGGAGAGGGGACCTTGGAAGGGAGAGAAACCTAGGCTGGAAGACCTGGGAGCCTGGGGAGTTTGTCCTTGTGTACCCTTGAGCCTTTCATTATCCTTAGGACTAAATTGTGATCCTAGATGAGTTCCTCCTTTGTTTGGGCTACAGTTTCTTCTGGGAAGTGGGTAAGCTTTGCCCATTCCAGAGGGTGGCTCTGAAAATAACTCAAGCTATTCTAATAGCAATGATAAGCATTGTTGTAAGCCTTGTGTGTATGTGTGTATGAATTCTCACAATCATGCTAGAGGGAGATGATGCTTTCATCTCCACCTTGCATTTTGGGAAACTGAGGCACAGAAAGGTTTAGAACTTTCCTGGGGTCACTTCTTTGGGAAGTTGAAGCAAGGAGATTGGTCTGGCTTCATGATCTGCATGGACCTTAAACCAGTGTAAACAAGCACGTGGTGATTGTTGTTCAAAATGCAGATTCTCCTTCAGAGGATCGGGGGTTGGGCTTGAGGTTCTGTGTTTCTGACAAGCTCCTGGATGCTGGGCCGCCCTTGGAGCAACCAGCCTTTAAAACAGGGATCAGAAAACTATAGCTACAGGACAAATTCGGCCTGCTCCCTGTGTTTCCATGGGCTGAGAGATAAGAATGGTTTTTATGTTTTTAAATGGTTGGAAAAAATTAAAAAAAAGAATAATATTTTATGATCTGTAAAAATTACATGTAATTCAAATTTCAGTGTTCATAATAAAGTTTTATGGGAATACAGTCACACTCATTTGTTTACACATTGTCTTTGGCTGCGTATGGCCCATAAGGCCTAAAGCATTTACTATTTGGCCCTTTATAGAAAAAAGTTTGCTGGTTCCTGCTTTAAATTATGGTGCATATGCTAGGAATTTATTTTGCTTCTTTTTCTGCTTTGTCTAAATCTACTCTTAAAGGAGATTCTAACATCATCATTTATACTTCAAAGAAATCTAAGTGAACATATTAAATTTTCTAGTAGTGTTCCATTTTAATTTTGAATCTTATCTCTAGTATTCTAGATTCTTTTCCTTGTGAAAGGATTCGAAACAAATGTAAGCAAAAAGTGTCGCAATTATGTAGATACTGTACATGGGCATATGATCTTCATTTCCTAGAATTTATTCTGACTTCCTACACACAACTGTGTATGTATGTGTTTTGCCCTTCAATCTGGGAGGTTTGTAAATCAGGCAATGCCATATTTGTCTGTGTATCATAGGGTGCCTGGAACAGTCGAGGTTGTGGAATTGTATTTATTATTAGGTACAAGTGGATCGTGCATATCTCAAAGGCTTGCTTTAACCTTTAGGGAATCCCTATGGGATAGAAACGTCCAGGCTGAGTATTCTGGCTGCTTTGGGTTGGAATCTCTATTCTACTACTACTTTTCTTTGTTAAGAGGAATAAACAAACAAGCAAACAAACCAATGAGATTGAGAAAGTAGAAACTCGCTCTGCTGACACAGTCTGAGATGGAGGCACTGAGAATTGAAACAGAAATCACATCTTGCAAATCTGTTTTGTGACTCACAAAAGAGATAAACGGAGCCAAGCCATAGCATGCCAGAGACACCATCTAAACTCAAACTCGTTTAGCCAGCAAATGCAAACCCATATGTTGTGGATAGGACAGCAGATGAACTGATCGAACAGTAATTCCACATGACTTTTTAAAAAAATTGTAATAAAATGTACATAACCTTTACTATTTTAAGTGTACAGCTCATTGGCATTAAGCACATTCACATTATTGTGCAACCATCGCTGCCGCCCATCTGCAGAACTCTTTTCATCTTGCAAAATTGAAACTCTGTACCCATTAAACAATAACTCCTCATTCCTCCTCTCCCCTCAGCCCCTGGCAACCACTAGTCTACTTTTTTGTCTCTATGAATGTGACTACTCTAGGTACCTCACAAATGTGGAATCATACAGTATTTGTCTCTTTGTGACTGG